GCCTGCAGGAGGAGCGTGGGGGTGAGGATGGTGGGTGACCCGCAGCCTTTCTTCTGGTCTGAGGTCACTGGGTGCCTAGGCCCCTGGGGGTTGGTGTTGTTCAGAAGGTGCGTTTGTTCTGGCCTTTTCCAGCTTTTACACGCCTTGGCTTGTGGCCCAGCCCTCCCTTTTCAAAGCAAGTAGTGTGGCATCTTCAAGTCCTCTCTGCTCCCACCCTCACATCTCCTTTTGGATCCTGACCCTCCTGTCTGTCTCTTACAAGGACCCTTATCGTTACATTGGGACCACCAGCCGATCCAGATAATCTCTTCATCTGCACACCCTTAATCACAGCTACAAAGCCCCCTTTACCATTTATATTAGTTTCCTGTGGCCACTGTAACACATTACCACAAGCCTGGTGGCCTGAAACAGTAGAAATTGATTCTCACAGCTCAGGGGCCGGGAGCCCAGAGCAAGGTGCCAGCAGCGCGGTTCCTTCCGGAGGCTCAGGGAGAGTCTGCCCTGCGCCTCTCCTACCTGCGGTGCTGGCCGGCGGTCCCTGCCGCTCCCTGCCTTGTGGCTGCGTCACTCCCATCTCTGCCTCCGTCCTCACATGGCAGTCCTCCCTGTGCGCGTGTGTGTACACCCATGTGTCCCCATTTCCCGCCTTTAAGGACGCTGTCATTGGATTAGGGCCCATGCTAGTCCAGCGTGACCTCGTCTTAAACTGGCCACGTCTGCGAAGACCCTGTTTCCCAGCAAGGCCACACTCGCTGGCTCCGTGGAGAGAGGACTTTCAGGGAGACACTATCCAACCCACTACACCACCTGAGATAGTACATTCACTCGTCCCGGGGCTGAGGGCGTGGGCATTTGGGGGCATTACCCGATCATAGGTGGGGCCGAGCAGGTGCAGCCGTGGCTGTGGGAAGAGCACAGGGCCCAGGAGGCCAGGGTGATGCACAGTAACGCCTTCGCCACCCGCTACTCAATGGACACTGAAAAGAATCCTCAGAACCCACCCCCCGGGCAGGGATGTGAGGCCTTTTTCCTGGTTTTCTGGTGGCTCCAAGGCCCCACCAGGACAGGTTTCCTTGACAACCCCCTTCATGCCCCTTCAAGGTGGATTCACAGGTCCCAAGGGGGACAACGAAGATGAGATGCCGTCCTCTGAAGACCTGTGGTGCTCATCACTGCAGAGGGTCCCCAGAGGGCCTGGCTGGGGGGCTGGATCCCATTAGAGAAACGGAGTCTCAGGATGATCCCACCTGCCTGCATACACCCAGCTGGTGGTGGGGGGGGGTCACTGTGCCCTTCCTGGGATCCCAGCTCCAAACCACGAGCGAGCAAGTCTGGCCTGCTCGGTTTTGCAGCCCAGCCTCAGTGTGCGTCTGCTGAATAGCTGAACGGCTCGAGGGTAATGACAGTGACTGGCTGTTACAGTCCTCACGGGCCGGCGCTTACAGCCCCGCAGACCAGGGCCCAGCGGTCCCTTTATGCTAAAACATGAAAACTGGAAGCTGAAGCCCTACAGCGAATAAGTCGCAGAGTCCAGATGCGAACTCAAGTGCTTGTGATTCCAAAGCCCTTGCTTATTTATTTATATTTTTATTTTTACTATGGTAAAATACACATAACATGACATTTACCATCTTGACCATCTTTAGAAGTGTCGAGTTCAATGGTATTAAATAATCCATTATGTTGTGCGAGCCTCAGCACCACCCATCCCGGTAACTCTTCTTGCAAAACTGAAACTCGATAGCTATTAAGCAGTCACCCCGCAGCCCTGCCCCGGCGCTTGGCAGCCACGATCCCACTTCTCGCCTTGAGGGTCCTGACTGCCCTAAGTGTCTCGTGTGAGTGGAGTCGCAGTGTTCGCCCGCCCGTTTACCTGGCTTCCTCAGCACAGCGTCCTCCAGGTTCCTCCCTGTTGCCGCGTTGCCAGCACGTCCTTCCCTCTTAGGCCGAGTCATGGCCATCGGTGGACGCACCTGTTCGGCTGGTGCGCTCGTCCGTCAGGGCGTGCGGGCCGCTTCCGAGCGCTCAGTAGCTCTTCCAGACAGTGCTCCAGGAACCTGGGGGTACAACTCTCTTCAAGGCCCTGCTTTCCCCTCTTTAAGTACCTACGCAGAAACGGAATTACTGGGGTCAGATGGGAATTACGTGTTTAACTTTTAGAGGAACCACCATTGCTTTCGTTCTGTTTTCGGTTCCAATGGACATAAAATAGTGTCAGCTTCAGGTGTACAACACAGGGACTGGACGTTTATATAACTTCCGAAGTGATCCCTCCGGTAAGTCCCGCACGCGTCTGGCGCCACACGTCGCTCGTACGGTGGCACCGACTGTTTGCTTTTAGATCCCACCTGTACGTGAAATCATCTGGCGCTTGTCTTCCTCTGCCTGACGTATTCCGCTCGGCACAGCACCCTCCAGGTCCACGCGTGTCGTCGCAGGTGGCGAGATCCCATTCTCTTTCGTGGCTGGGTCACATCCCTTCGTCACACTCGCCACCGCTTCTCTGTCCACTCACCTACTGACGCGTTGCTGCCTTTGTGGTTTCCACCAGGACTACATTTAACGCCCTAAGTTATGTTGAATGAGAACCTGAATTTATATCGGCCTAACTCCGGCGGCTACAGAAACTCTGATCTTTTACCACTCCGGTCAGCTACAGAAACTCTGTCGCCACTCCGGTCAGCTACTGATGTCACAAAGTCCCATCTTTACACATTGTGCCAAAACATAAATAATTACTTTAACTGCGCTGATCTCTTAAGTCATGCAGTCGGGCCTGACTAGGGCTGGGTTTGTGCCAAGCGGGTATGAGACCGGGACAAGGGGATGGAGGGAGCGAGGAAGCGAGGGTCGTCACGGCCCAGGGACCCAGTGCTGGGAGAGACTGTGGGAGGGGGACAGTTGGTTTGCTTTTTAAATGACAGATGAAGGTCTTGAAGAGTTGGAAGGCTTGTTGCAGTCCCCACAGCCTAATGCACCGGGAGCGCAGAGTGGGCCAGCAGGGCATCTGAAGCAGGGTTCCAGAGGTGGCACAGGCATTGCTGCCCTCGCCTTCTTTAGAAGAGGCACATGTGGTGCCAAGGAAAGGCCTCTGGG